CACCCGAGATCCGCCTTGAAATGGTTAATAAACAACCTTTTGTTTTCTCTCATGAAACCATCCTAGAATACAATTAAAACTAGTCATTTACAAATCCCCCTACCAATGTGATTGTCTTAGGTAATATTTTATGTGGCACTGTCAGAAATTTTCAAAAATCTAAATCCACACACACAACAGCTAAAATAAGTAACATTCACAACAAAAAGTCAACAGATTAGTGTAGTAAGATTTATATTTAGTGGATCAATCATACGTTTTATTTATGATCTCATGCTACACTAAATGATTTTGTAAAATTTATTTTATTAGATTCCAGAATTTTCCCTATACAGAAATAAGACTGACTGGTCTATAATTTGAAAGGTGACTTTTCACCCATTTAAAAATAGGAGTAACATAAGTAACACTCCAGTCCTCGGTAGGTACCTGACTATTGACCTACCAAAAATGAGAGAGGTTCATATGTCTAATATTTGACTTTCTTTAAAACCTGTGAAAACATATTATCTGACACTTTTTCAAGACAATTTTTTATCTTCCAAGTCACAAAAGAATTAATATCCACATGATTTAGAAGAATTCCAGTATGCAGCATGTTGTATCATGAGAGAGTGCTTTTCATGACGGCTCTTGCTGCCATTATTTGACCATCTGTGGCATATAGTGGCAACAGAATGGGTGGGCATGAAGTTTGTTTAAACTACATAATGATAATCTGTATTACACTTCTAGAGCTGTAACTCTTTTTAATATCAAAGAAAATGGTACTATATTTAGAAGTTAGCAGAAAGTATCAGTGGGCTAAGTAAAGTAATACCTAATAGGTGTGATGCATGTACAAATAGCATCGTACCTACATAAATTTTTGAAATAATCCGTTGATGAAAATGATACCTGATTATCCATTTCATCACAAAATCAATATCTGATTGGATTGAATATTTGTCCCATCCTTAAAATTAACTTTTAATGTGTGAGTGATACAAGTATCTATTATGAAAGAAGAACATTTTGTTGCAGAGTACAGAAGACCTCAGGAGGAAGCAGCTGAGATTGTTTGCTGATTCATACTATTCAAAATCTCTTGATGGATTTCAAGATTTGGAAAACTTTACCGAATTCTTACGAGTTACATTAGAGAGAGTTGGACTGTGGGAACACCATCTACAAAGTAAATATGACTTCTAAATATAATAAACACCATATAAAGTGATACTTTCTGCTGTAATAATGATTTATAGTATCAGCAAAACTGTGTGAAATGTTTGGGTTACGAACTATAATTTCTAGTTTATTATTGAATGCATGACGTCAGTCAAAACCAGAATGTTTACACATGATTTAGATTTGTGTTACAGTAAGCACTAGGAAGTTGACTCCAGCCTTATGTGGCATTTATTTTGTAGGTTTCACTGGTGTAGTGGGACAGTGTTGTGTGTGTATCACTCACCATGCAGGTCTAACAAATGCAGACATTTAGCAAAAGTACTATGCTATGTTTGGCTTCATGTCGTAAAAATTGAAATGGATGCTAAACTCGAACCATGTCTCTGATTGCTTATGCATTTAAACTATTTTGGAGAGAGGCCAACATGAGTTTTTTTTTCATAATGTTACATTAAAATTGGTTCAGCCAGTTCTTCACAACAGCATATGATATCAAATCACCAGACAGATGGATAACTCTGCGTTATATGTAGAAAGAGTTGACACTGTTTTCTTGTTAATACAAAGTTATGGTTTTATATTTCCTACATGTTTTTTGTGTTATTCCTCTGTTAAGGGTGCAGCTTTATTGTATTGAGATGAATATTATTTTTTCTGGAGTTTATGGTCATTTATTCATAAAATATCTAAAATACCACAACTTGAACTCTGAAAAGAGAAAGTAATTAAAAAATGCACTAAATTTTCAATGAATAAAAAATTTGCTTTTAAGATTTTAGGATGTACCAATTATATTTTTTTTTATTTCAGACTTACGAATTTGTACTATAAAACAATCTTTGTTGAAGGATATACAATATTTCATGCCTTTTTGAAACTTTTTATTTATTATTTTGTTATAGATCTGACTGGATTTAGTTCTCGGTTAAAAACATTGCACCAGATTCTAGATTACATGTTGTCTGCCCAACCAGTTATTAAGGAGTTATGCAATGAACAAAAAACCTGTAAACTTTTAAAATCAATGGAAAAAGGCCCAGATGGTGGAGGAGATGGAAATGAGACAGTCACACAAGAAGAGGAAGTATTGGAGACACAAAAACTTCTAACTCTGCTAGATCAGAGATTAAGACTGGTGATGCAGTCAATGGTGAAACTTTATTCTTCAAAAGGGTCAAAGTAAGAACTCAGTGTAATATTTTCATTAGGTTTATGTAAATAAGTTTGTAAATAAGTTTTATGTAAATAAAAGAATGATTTGCTTCTTGTCACTCACTTGAAATTGGTTATTCAACTATCATTAGTTCAACTTTAAAGCTAGTGTCTGTTCACTAATTGCTTGTAAAGTAAATTTTTAACATGATCCTCTATAATTCCAAATATTTCTTTTTCCAGTAACTTTTTACAAAGTACGTTTGTAACATAATTCTATATAAATCTAAATGTTTTCAGTCCAGTAACTGTTTACAAAAGTATCTAATTTTATTGTACATAAAATTTAGTAGTATATAGTTGGGGTATGTTTTACTTAATATACCTTAATACTGTTCTTATAGATTCCGAGACTCTCTGAAGAAGTGGTCTCGATTGCAAACTGTTTTTACACAGCAAGCTAAGAGCATGAGTTTACAGGACTATTTGTTGTTTGTAATGGACAAGTTGCAAGACACCAAAGAATGGTAACAGTGATTTGATAGATTCTGTGTGTCTCTGAAGAAGTGGACTTGATTGAAATTTTTGCTATAGGGTAAACAAAAAGAATAAGTTTACAGGACTAGTCATTGTTTGTGATGGACAAGTTACAAGATACCAAACACTGACTAAGTGAAAGATTATGGCAGTCTCTCTGTGAAATGATGTACAGTGTCAAGACATTATTTTTTATGTTCTAGAAATGTGTTATTTGTAAAAATCTCTAGTGTAAAAAAGTAGTTTCAAAACTGCTATTCCAAGAAATAAAATACTGTTAACATTATGATTTTAACTTAGCTATTTTGTAAATTTGTAGTATTACTTTATGAAATTATTACAAACATTCAGTTTTTTTTTTCATTGTAGCCTTGGTTGCTTTTTTAAATTAAAGTATTAGGATGGATATATTTCATCATTTTAAGTTTGAAGTTCAAACATGGAGTGTTTATGAAGCCTACTGAAAACCACTACATGATATGAAATATAAACAGCAGTAAAACTCCATTTTTTTTGTTTGCTAGATGATTGTAGTGAGGGTGAAAGAACTAAAGTTTTAATGTAGTTACATTACTACAGTGCTGAGAATGTTTTATAAATGTTGTAAAAAGTAGTTATATTCATGTGAAACTATTTACTGCCCTGACTTCTATAAAAAAAAGGTTTTTTTATTTAAATATTTATATTAGATATTGTACAAAATGTATTAAAAGCTGAATTTATATTATACTGATTCTTTTATAGTCTTAGTGTAGTAAATTTATGTGTGAAGTGTTGGAATTCTAAAAACCCACAAGATTAAAATTGCAGTGCTTTAAGAAGCTACTAAGACTGTGGCACAGTTGTGTTTACTCAGTTCTGTTTTTTTAGTAGTTTTCTTTTCTTCTTGGACATCAATTATCAAATACAAACTTTCTCATTCACATGACAAATTTCACTAAGGCATAAAAGTATTTGTTAAAGATTAACCTTTCTCTGCTTGAAATATTTCAAATTTAGCAGTTTTAAACAGGATTACTGCTTTGATGTAAAGCAGTGTTGGGTTTCAACAGAACTAAACTATGATGTAAACAGATGTTGCAAATAAACAGCTAGGAGTCCTAAGGCATAATAGTTTTAGTTTAATACAAGTACAAGTGTAATGTAAGCAGGTATTAGATTTGAAAAGAACTATAGCTCTGATTAAAAGAGATATTATTAAAAAGAAGTGTTAGAACCACACAAAGCCTGAATTGGTGTTGGATTCCAGTGGAACTCTATTAAGGGTTTGGGCAAAAAGTGTTTTTTTTTGGAAAACCATATTCTGATAACTTGTCCATTGTGTAGTTTTTAGAAGTGCATGTTAGACATAAATAAATATAGTGGTTATAAATAATACACTAATTTTTTTATTTTTCACAAAGAATGAATAAATTTTTCATATTGCTTATAAGTGGTTTTTCCCATTACTGAAATGATTCACTTAAAATTCTACAACTCATAATCATAGAAGCATCTGTCAGAAAGCGTGATACAAGTATTTTAAGTTATAGATAGAAGCTTCATGTAAGGTTGTTGGTGGAAATTAGCATATTGCTAATGGTCATTATGAGTTACTTATGAAATATATGCCATGCAAGAAAGTTTACCACAATCTTCAGTTGGTTTAACTTTAAAAGGACACAGTCTTAAGTTTTGTGATTAAATGTTCATCATACTGCTAATGATATCAGTGAAATTTTGTGTAAACCAACACTTTTACTATTATGAATATTCATGTATAATGATACATTTTCACTGGTTTCATTCTCAAGAGGTAATATAACAAATGGTGAACAGGAACTCAGACATTATAAGATAGTGTTTTATTTCTACACATGTTCCAAACTTCTTTCATTTCATCTGTATTTTAGTTTGGTTTTATTTCATTTTATAACACATGAAATTAGTGCTTGCAATGAAATAGCCTAACATTAACCTATATTAGAAGTAGTCGTGTTTATCAGTCATAACTAACCTATGTTTTGCCTGTTAAGAATCAAACTACAAAATCAATTTTATGCTTAAAACAACTTTAAAATCACAGCACAAAACTTTGAACACCATTAATATGGAATATATTATACCTATTCTTCATGTAACCAACCTTTATAATACAGTACCTCAACTAGTGGCAGATCTAGGATTTTGGAAGAGGTAGGCACCAAATATAAATATTCAAGAACTTGGAGAGTCATGTATCTGGGGAATGGTTTAGGGGAGGATCCCCTACTGGATTGAAAGCTGATAGCTTTTTAGCAAAGGAAACTTTTTAAAAAAATGTCCACACATTTTATTTAAGTCTTACATTTGACTGGTGTACTCAATCATCGAGCCATGAAAAGTGTTCTGTTATGGGGGCATCTGAAGCTAAGTCTGCCTCTGCTAAATACAAAAGTTTTTCCTATTAATACTTATCAAGAACAAAAGTAATACCAGGCTAACTTTACTTGGAAACAAGCAATCTTAAGTTCCACATGATACTATATGTTAAATATGTCTAATTTCAAAGGGTGAATTCCAGGATTGTTTATCATTGACTTCATAACAAATGTTAACAAAACTTCATGGACTGATGTACCAGGCTTTCTTTGTAAAGGAAACTAATTGAGATTTTGTTTTCCAGTGTAGTATTCTGAGGATAACTTGATTTCTACAAAGAATGTTAGGTAGGGAGGATGCACAGGATATATCACAAAATAAATCTAAAGTTAACTACCAACTGAGTTCAAGTTAAGAAATAAACAGACTGGACATGATATGTGGTACAAAATGAAAACAGTGTTTACTCATTCAATAGACAAAACATTATGCATGGTTGTATTAGTAAACTGAAAGATCGCTTTTTTTTTTGGGATACATTAAATGATTAATTAGTTTTTCTCTCTAGATGTTCTCTTGTCAACCAGTGCATTTGAGATCATGTGTAGTCTGTCTAAATCCAACATTTATTACTTAATAAGAAACATCATTGTAATCATTTGTGACTAGTGCTACTATGTAACTGATGATTCTCTCCTAATGTAGGAAGAAACATGACTTCTAGGTATCATCTGATCCATTATTGAAGGACACTGGTGTCGATGATCTTGCAAAACATGTAATATTATACCAACATCTCTTGCAGGGGTGAGGATAATCTTTAGAGAGAGTAACAAAGGCAGCTAGATTGAAGTCAATTTTCTGGCCCACTTGTTATGTGCAAGTTGCATAGACTTAAAATAAATGAAAAACATTTTAATTTCTACTTTGGAATATAAAAGTATAAACACATGGTATACTTACATACCACATTCTTACTTATCCACCTGTTTCAGGCCTGTCCTCAAGTCAACAATATACATTTAAATTTAAAACCATTTAACTTTACACTCACAATATGGTCGAGAAGCACATTAACTTTCTCAAGCTTCTGTAAATGTTTATATACAAAATGGACAATACAACCCTTAAACAAATAACTACTATACACAAGGCATTTGTGAAAAATGTACTTTAATACGGTACTTCCTTCTTCTCACAAGATTAGCTTTTCCCGTTTTGTGCTGCACTCTATATGCAATTTGTTTATAATGTATGCTACAAGCTGTCCGCTCCCACTCTATTGGAATCAAAGATTTCAACATGTCCCGCATGCAAACCATCATACCTCCATTAATAGGAGAGAACTACTATCATGTGACTTCCTCTATGCGCTACTACCAAACCATCACTTTTTATTTGGCAGTGTTTTTTGTTCATTACTTCTTGAATAATTTACTTTATTTCAATAACTTTTTTTCCACTATATTTTCGAAAGCGTTTGTTTTACCTGTGTTTTGCTGTGAAAAATTTTGCTTGTTTGTTTGGTGTCAAGCATGAATTCCGAAGTTAGTATTACCACTTCGGGCACATTTTATTCCTCTCGTGCTATAATTCCGGCCACGGGTGCGGGCGACCCATCGGGGGATTTATCGGCCTTTATTCGCAAGGAGATTGAGCATTATATGGGACAACCTTTGTCTCCTGCTGTTGCCCCTCTTCCTCCTGAGCTTGGCCAGGCTGACGAGGAATTTGATCTTTTGCCCCCCCCCCCCCATGGAGTTTGCCGTGCCTTCCCAAACACTACCTGAGGATTCTGTTCAGCCCTCGTCAGTTTTCTTGGATTGGACTTTATTTCTCAGGTATGTGATGTTTTGTCTATTTGCTCCTATCTCTTATGACCCACGTTCTTTCGTATTATATGATTCTGCCTCCTAACCTTATTTATTCCCCCCCCCCGTCCCCTGATATTTGTGTTCACACTGAGCATTTTGCCACCCAGTTAGGTGACGGCGTTAGTATGCCTCATCCTCTGTGGGCTTTAGATCAGTCTGCCCTCATTTATCATAAGGCGGACTGTCCATATCTGTACCAACAATTATTGGGTTCAGTTTTGCCTGTTTGGGGGGGGGGGCTGAATCTCCCGTTCATCTTACCAATGCCTATTATTCTAGACTTCATCTTACCCTGATGACTCTTTTGCAGTACCTCTTCTCAATCCATTTTCTATCTAAGACTCTTCACAGGAACCCTGAGGGGTTTTCTGGGAACGTTTTCTACCTCCTCACTTCCACGTTGGCCCGCCTGTCGTCTTTGGCCCTGTAAACGTGGTTTATTTGTTGTTGGGACCTTTTGGGTCATGATGCCACATTGCCACGGACCCGTCTTCCGGCTCCTTATCTACGGGACCTTTGGATGGCCCCGTTTTTGAGACGTTTCGTATTTTACACGATCCCAGAGTCGAGGGTAGCTTCGGTTCAACAACAATCCACCCTTTCTCACCTGATGGGGCCCCTATGTCCCAGTCGGAGCCGAGTGTAGCACCGATTCCTGTCTTCCGACCCTCCCTTTCCCAGCTCTTGCCGGTTCTTCCTTCCCACAGTTTCACTGTTCGTCGTTTTACGACACATGGTATAACAACAAGGGTTCTGGTGACCTTTGTTCATTGGTGGAGCCCTTTCATCTTCGATGTATGGGTTCACCAAGTTATGTCAGAGAATTTGTCATACCTTTTCTTACCCTTCCTCCTCTTCAGGATCTCTTGTCACACCAGCGTCTATTCTATGCAGTGCAAGACATCCTCACACAACAGACTATTGAACCTGCTCCATGCGTTTGTTTTTTCTTTTTTTTTGGGGGGGGGGTAACTCCTGCCTGTTTGTAGTTCCCAAAAAGACAGAAGTTTCCTATGTTGGTTTCTAATAAGGGGTCTTCGGTCTCCTCCATATTGGGTTATCGGGCAGCTCTATCCCATAATTTCCATTTTTCTAGTTACCACAGGGTCTTTCTTTCCCCTGTCCTTGCCATTTTGATCCTTTCTTTCCGGACCCTCGGCCGCCTAGGCATCCGGTACTTCCGGATTGGGACATTCTTTTACTTTACCTCCATTTGAGCCCATTGCCACGTGTTTTTTTATCTCACCTATCCCTTAAGGCGTATTTCCTTCTGTAACAAAGATTTTATGCCACACATTTAGAATTAACAAACACTTATTTTACAGTGGAACCTATTTAATATAAGCTATAAATGATCGTGAAACAAACATTAACCAGGCATACACTCAAAATGATTGCGACGAATATTATAAGACACAAGAATCATTAAAAAATAGTTTTCACACATGCGCTGATATTAACCTGTTATGTCTCATAGTTTTAAAGCTCCCAGCAGCACGATTTAAAACATACTTGTTGTGTCATGTAACACGTATGTTTTGCAGCTTGCTGTCAGTGTTCAGCATATAATATGCTCAATGGTCAGATAAGGCTGGATCAAGCATAGCCTTTTATGGTAAGAGAGGGGAAATGAAATACATTTATATCAACAAACTCACCAGAAACAAGTGGGGCGGATAGTTTTATAACTAACTGGACGTACTGGTTAACATTATTACGTATATCAACGATGATGGTACTGTTAATCAGCCAACTTTTATAACCCACATATAAAGTCAACAACTGTACTAGATGATCACCATATCGGTTACTAATAAGATTTACAATTTCATCGTATAGCACAACGAAATATATTTGTAAAACTCGTTGAGTTTTGTAGGTTAAACGTTTTAAATACACCAGTGTAGGTAATAAAAAACAAACCTAGGCAGAGAAAAACAACTTTTGAAGCTCTTCGATACAAAGTTGTTAATTAACTGAAAACAAATTCAACGCAATAAGGAAATCTAATATTGTTTACTGTATTTCTTCAAACGTCATGATCTAGTTTATTGTCTTGACGTCCTTGGTGCTTTCTATGGACTCAGAGAGTCAACGCAGTCAAACTCTTGAAATAAATAAAGGTCGGAGAATGTGTACGTAGACAGTAGGTACTGTAACTACACTGTTAGATATCCATTTATAATCACTACTGATGTTTGTGATTTAAATTCGTATTTGTTTGGTGCAGAGCCTTACTCTCAAGAAATTTCCCAGTTTTCCCTTTAAGAAGTCATAGAAAATTAACTTTTCCCCTTTGTAAAATCTGTGTAGAAGAAAGATCACCACCACACATGGATGAATTCGGATGAAGAACGAGTTTTTATTGAAATTTGATTGACGAATAAAGTTAAAGTTCTTGAGTGTGGATACCAGATAAATGAAGTTGATCATTTACTTTGTAAATCGTTTAATCTTTTCAGACAATTTATAAAGATATTTTTAAAACAGGAAAGATCAGGATGGCCTGCATACTATACACGACAGAGTTACAACAAACTCATGCTGAAAGAAAAGGTGTTCACCCGAGTCTGGAACACATCCATACTGACCCTGGAAGAATATCTGTTTCTAATGTATGCCTAAACACATTGAGACCGTTGAGGTATGTCTGAAGAGAAATGTCAACTAACGTATACATCATGTGTAGAATAGTATTACACATTAGTATTTGATTCTTCTGAGATTATTTATAGAGGTGGCCTTTAGCAACGATAAAATCACCGCTCTCCACTTGAAGCATAACGTGAATATCTTCCTCAGCTAGATCAAACGAATATCATTCATCAACGCTCACGACTCGTCTGACGATATTTAGTTTTCATTCGATTATTTTATAAATCTTACAAAACACAACTCAGATTTTAAGAGATACTCAGTGCACATAAAGTTGACAAACGACTTGTGAGATTATTTCAAGTGTTAGACATTTACAGACTGTAATGAGATGCTTACGTGAATCGATGAGGAAAAGACAGCACTAGTTTGTTTCTTATATCAAACTGTATACAAATGCAGGCATTAGAAGTATGTTTTTGTTGTACAATACAAAATCAAGTCAGTCTTTTTTTTTATCTTCAAAACTCTTACATAATACATTGGGCAAAATGTGAATACACTTTAAACTTTTTTGAAAATATACATATCTGATGTAGTTGAAGAGTCCTTTTAATCTAACTTATGTAAAAGAAAAAACAACATTCATTAGATATCTCACTAGAGGTATACGAGTTCAAGTGTCCGATATGTAACTATGAATGTATTGGATCAGTCTCTAGAAGGCTCTGCAGTCGAATAAAAGAACACTATAACGTTAAAACCTATATCACTAGTAGTATTACAAATACCTGTTGTGCCTACCTTCATTTTTTTCCACGTTATTCTTTATTCTCGGGAATAATTTAACTTTAGGATGCTGAAATCTCTTGCTATTAAGCTAAGAAAACCTGTTCTTAATCAGAAGATGAGCACTGACACTACATCTTCAATAGTGAATACGTAAGAAACAGAACACGAAACTTCATCGTTAAATATTAGATAACTTATATCTAAGAGTGAATCTAAACTTCCTATTATTTAATTGAAAGTTTAATAAATAAAAAAACATTTTAAGAGAGTCAGAATTAAAGTAACTTACTATCGGAAACGTAAGAGCATCTAATAAAATATAATTTTAAAAGATTCACTCACTGTCATAACACTTTAAGAGAAACACAAGATAAAATAAATTTAAAGTGAATTTATTAAAAATTGTTTTATTTTTCGTTTTTGTATCTACATAAGATTTCCAGGCAAGCTTATTCATAAGTTCAATATATTTCTTTTGTACTCACGATACAATTAAGAGTGTTGGCCGACAGAAATTGTGGAAGTAATGTGTGTAAAAAAAAGATGATACTTAATTTTTGTCAGAATCGTTATTCGGAATAGAATTGTACAAGTTTCAGTAATTGAAGAAACTGTTAATGCACTTCAATCAAGCAACATGTATGAAGTCGTGGAGAGAAAAGTAACAAAACTACGACAAAATTAAGCCAAATTATTTTTATTTTTTCGATTCTATTTCGCCATATAACGCACCACATATCAGAAAAAAATATTTAAAAACATTAACTACAGTCTGATTTGTAGTCACAAATGTGACTTTTTAACCCAGTTAAATAACCTGAATAGATTTCTCAAATCATTTGGCATTGAATAAAACGTAAGAAAAAAAATAGTTCATTAAAATAAACAAACCAATTAGTATTATTAAAATATCAGCAATTATATATATATATAAATTCTCAGGAACAGCTTTTCTCATTGTTTTACACAGACAGCGGAGCTTTGTTTTTGAAGGATTTGACAAAGTGGGTAAATTTCTTCATTTCTAATTACTTAACTTTTGTCCTTAAATAAAGTATAGCAAAGGCAAGAAAGCGAATTGCAAACACCAAGACTCCAAGCCCTAATATGTCCATCTCAAGATGGTCCTAGTGGATAACGAAAACGTATTAGTTATAGATAACACTTGCAAAGCATGCCCATTTTAAACTATACATCATGTTAAACTATTGGTGTAGTATTTGTTAACAAGATTTGACCATTTCTTTCTTAATTGTTGGATACATAATTGCTATACTAATAAATTTTAGACCTATTCTGAAAGAAAAAAAGTTACAAATATTTTAACATAAACGTTTCCATGAAAAAGCCGATGAGTGAACAGACCCAATGGAACTTTATGCCCAGGACCTCTGATAAACAACGCCAATGAAAATTGCCCTCCCACTGAGCACTAATCAATTTAGAATAATGGTGACTGAGTGGCAAGTCTGAGGGATTACAATGCTAAAAGTCGCGTGTTGATACCCGCGGTGGGAAGATAGTGGATAGCTCATTGTGTAGCTTTGTGATTAGCAAAAAACGTTATTGAAATATTTTAATACAACATCCAGTGACCTGTTGTGAATGAAACAAAGCTTTAGCAAACGCAGACTAACGGCTGGATGTGGAGCAAAAGTGTGAAAACAACAGAGTTTTGGCATTTAACACTTAGTAACTGTGTCTGACCATATATTAACTCTTTAATGATGTGAAAAATTACAAACAAAATTTAGCATACAAAATCCGGTGGTTAAAAGTCGTTTTGTTATGATAATCCTGATACGATGTGGGAAACAAATCATCAGTTTGTAAAGTATGTAGCAACAGATGTAAACTAGATAAAGACACTATGATATTATTGTAACATGTTCTACCACTAGGCAAGTTCTTTTGGATTATTCAGGAAAGATAATGCAAAATCCAACCCACTTAACGATAACAAAGTAATATATTTCGTCAATAAGTTTCTATATAGGTTACGTTCACTAGTAGGCAACATTACAATAGAAATTCTGAGACTATTGGTACGCCTAACTCACAAATAAGCTTAATCAATAACTTACTTACAAATTTATTTGCTCATCAATCAATAATAAACACGCTGACTGATTAACATACTAACTCGATCTATGACCAACTGATTCACTAACTGATAATGAATTGATAAACTTGTTGAATTTACTCATTCTGTAATTTTTATATTGTACTAGTTTTCTACATACTACAAGAAGATTCAAAATTTCACAGAGGCAAAATTTTAATAAAACTTTTAGAATTATGACATTATATAAAAAATTATCTCTAGTAAACAAAAACATTAATATTATAAAACACGATACTGCCCTCTTCCTGGATTGTGAAGTATCTTGAACAATCCTAATTCATGAATAAAACAGTACACTAAACTTCAAATTTCATATCTATTTACAAGTAACAAAATTTAATATTCTCAAATATATATTGCAATCACCATATTATTAATGAAAGATTTGAAACAAATTTGATAAAATTTCCGATTAACAAAACAAAATATCTAACATCGTATTTTACTGTGTCTAAACTGTTTGTTCACTAAGTCTTTTGTTTATGATGTTCTCTTATGAGACTCATGGTATACGGATGGGAGGAACTATTCTTCCATTGTAACTTACTGTACTATCACTGGGGGAATTCTCTCTAGGTGGACTGGCATGACGGGTAGCTAGAGTGCTTTACTCACAGTCTGCGGGTCGTGGGTTCGAAAATCCCTGTCCCACGAAACATGCTCACCCTTTCAGCCATGAGAGCATTATAATGTGACAGTCAATTTCACTATTCGTTGATAAAATAGTAGCCCAAACGTTGGTGGTGGGTGGTGATGATTAGATGCCTCTCCTCTAGTCTTTTACTGCTTAATTATAGACTACTAGCGCAGATAACCCTCATGTAGCTTTGTGCGAAATTCAAACCAAACTCTCTAGCTAGGTGGTCGAGCAAATCTACTGTTGGCCCTCAATCTTTGATGATACTTTGAAGTTGTTCTCGACAGGAACGCTGGAATCTTCAGCAGACTGACTTTTCAAAACAAATCCTTTTCTGAAGTTACCCAGTTTGCCAATTTCTTTCACTGATGTAATTTAAAAGATAATCATGATGGAATACCTTTGGCTTGAACTACCTGTCTTTCTGGATCCTGTAAATCGCATTAATGATTTTTTAAAAATATAACATATGACCCTTTCCATCATCTTCTTATCTTTGGAGCTCATCCTCTCTTGAAGTGGAATTTGCACAACCTTACCATGCTACTTCAGTGAAATTCAGTCTTATCAGTATTAACATCACAGTGACTTATAATTTTATCACTAACTAATTTAAGTATTTTTTGAGTAAAGTCATGCATGAAAGCAATGGTGTTCTTTAGTCTCTCTCTCTCTATTCCGTGTAAGACTGTGTTGAGTAATTATCCTCAGGATGCAAATACAGAACGTCCAAAGGTATTTCAAGTTCTCTATCAAACATCACCGATAAAGGTGTGTTACCTCTAGCTTTATATGTTGCCATTCAATATCTTATGAGTAACAATGGAAGATCTTCAACCCATATTTCTGATGTTCATCCACATAAATGGCAAACTGGGATAAAAGTATACACTTTTATCATTTCATCATTCTATAGGAAGATGGATGAAGAGCTGTTGTTCTGGTTTTCTTTATTTCAAGGATTTGAGGAATTTCAACACATAAAGATGATTCAAAATTCCATCGATGATTTGGGTGAGGTTCCAAAGGCACTCTAACTTTTGAAACAGATTCATTGACGAGTTTCTTTGTTAGAATTACTGCTTTCTGGTTAGGAACAATATATGCTTCTGACCATTTGGTGAAATAGTTCATTATAATCATGATATGTTTATTCTCATTGTTACTCTGTGGCAGAGGATCAAACACATGGACAGCAACTATATCAAGTGGTGTTCCAATACAAATAACTGCCCTTGCTGTTCCTCTCCTGGACCTTTTTTTTAGCTGGATATGCTTCAGTTTATGGAATACCTGTTCACTATTAGCAGTCAAACAAAACTTATTTGTAGAGAACGACTTACCAGGGAATTATTTATTAAAATTATGATGGTAAGAGCACAGTCCAAAAAATCCTCTTACCTAAAGCAATTTCCTTCGTATTGAATGATTCTGAACTAGTTCAATCTTAGATAAGTCTGTAGACACACACACACACACTCTCTCTCTCTCAGATGACTATGTATTCCAAGAAGCTCACCTGTTAATTGAGCAGTTTACATTTCTTGGGATACAGTTTAATGTTCTCTTTCATCAATCAAACCAAAACTTTTCTTAACTCATAATAAGCATCATCAAAGCTTTTTCAACATATAATTATGCCATCCAAATAAATGAGTATGACATTTCAGTTCAGAAAGAGCACACTCTATTATTCATTGAAAAATAGCAGGTTCATTACATAATTCATGGTAAAACAGTAAACTACAACAATCTGTTTCTTTCAGGAAAGGTTGTCTTTTCTCTGCTGGTTTCGTCAACTTTTACTTGCCAATATCCACACTTCCGATCCAACATTGAAAACCATTTTGATAAAGATAAATCATCTAAAGTAAAGTCAATCCTTGAGAGTGGGTAACAGTGTTGCCAAGTCTTGCGAGAAAAATAAGCGGCACTGCTATTCAAAACAAGCCCATAACAAAGAGTACTGACTTTCAAAACTGCTCTTTTATGGCTTACCCTCAAAATGGTGATTTGCACAGCTTAATTGGAATATAGAATGTGTAAAGTGTAATGATGGATAGGCTATTCATTGACCCAATCAATTCACCAAAACTATTCCTACAACCATTTTACTGTATGTGAAAGTCAGCTATTACAAAAAAAAAGCCCAAATAAGCAGCCTCAGAAGAAAACAAACCAAAAGAAAACCACAACCAACGATTCTCAAAAATTAAAGCGACTTTAAAAAACAAAATAAGTCCAATTCTGCTTATTCTAAGCAGACTTGGCAACACTCGTGGGTGTTGAAATCCTACTTTGATATTTAATTCACCTTCAGTAATCCACATAGATCCTTGTTGTCCTTGACTCATCCCTTTCATTCACAAGTACAATAGATAATGTATAAGGACTAGTACTTAGTTCTATTACTCCTTGTTCCTCCATGGCTGACGCTATCACTTTGAAAGCTTCAGCCTGTTTTGTAAGAGGGAGTTATCTGGTTAACTGAAATATTGGAGGCTATATTTCTAGTATTGAATTTTATGAGTAATTTTATTTGTTTGGCATAATACACGAAGTCCATGCCCCCCAGTAGCACAGTTGTATGTTTGCGGACTTACAATGCTAGAAACCGGTTTTTTATACCCGTGTTGGGCAGAGCACAAATAGCCCATTATGTAGCTTTGTGCTTAACTTCAAATAAATGAAGTATACTAGATATTCCAGGCACAAGTCATGAAAGAAGCAAGGAAAAACAGGAAAACGTGAACATTTTAAATGATTAATGATAAAGTTCAGTCAGTTATCTTAAGATGTGTTGCAGCAAGGAGAAGCTGTCAAAAATGCGAAAATACTACGTAATTATTTATGGTATTGGATAAATTGTTTCTGGCATAAGAAAAATGCATCTTCTTTGGTTAAATCAGGAAAGATGTCACATAATTTAAACCAATGAGAAAACAAGAGAAACAGGCCAGTCGTGGGTAAGAAATTAGCGTACTAGGCAATAGATCCAATGTTTCATAGTTTATAGAAAAAATAATTCGCACTCTGCAATATAGTTCTGTAGGTGCATTGTAAGAGTGACAGTCAAGTTCTACTATTCGATTAGAATAGTTCAAGAGTTGGCAGCGGGGCATGGACTGGCTGTCTTCACTCTGGTTGTTCAAAATTAGGGACAGTTATGCAAATAGTTTAGCTCAAGTATGCAAAACAAACAAAAAGGCAACAGAAACAGAGACATAGCTAATCTTTTACTTATTTGCCATGTGTTCGTTTTGGTATGAAAGACAGTTCTCCAAGTGTTGTTAGTGATATTTGTATCAATTTTTTTGTGATTGTATAATTATTTAAGATTTTCAGGTACTGTCAGCCTTCCTTATTATGTCCACTTTTCCCTAACTTGGTCAGTGTTTCTACACGGTGCCTTCTAAACTAATTTATGAACAGATTTAATGACTTGCTAGAGTAAATATGTGCTCAATATTAAGGGTACAGGATGTTTAATTTGATGAAACATAGCTCATTATCCAATCTAAGACTATCTTAATGTTGTAAAAGTTGTCTTCAGTATATTGAAAATCTGAATGTTTAATTGTTTTAATATAATATCTAGAATAACTTTAGCACTAACAAACTATTTGTTTTTCTATCAGGTCGTACTATTGAAATCAGATTGACACGTGTGAAGCAGTAGTTTTGAATTAAGAGTTACAAGTTTAAGTACAAGTGATTATGTTATGAACATTATTTTGTTTATAACATGTTTGCTTTTAATTCGTTTTCTTTTCTTCACTTTTCTGTAACAGTCAACATTCCACATTTCCCCTTCAAACTGTTCTTTACATGACATATTTTACCTTAGTAGTGCACTATATTAAAGTGAATGTTTACCTTCTTAAAGTTAAAGGTGTGAAGTACATCATCACCATTCCGATAACAAATCGACTGTTCCTCAGGGCAAACTATAAGAAAAAGAAAAAAAAAGAATTAATAAACAACAAATATTTTAAGTTCTTACTTATTTTGCTTTTTATGTTGATCAAAATTATTATATTTTCTTTAGTGAACCGAATAATTGTTGATATTGATCAAGTAAATATTAACATATTCAATGAAATCAATTCTTGTCCAGTTATACTTCATAAAACAACCATAAAAATTAACCGTGGGTGTTGTTTTATAAAACATATAATATTTTATTGTTCAGTTTGTTTGTTTTGTTGGATTACATGCAAAGCCACTTAGGGGCTAGCTGTGCTAGCCGATCATAATTTTGAAGCAACAAACAACGAAAGGCAGCTAGTCAACACCACCCACTTCCAACTCTTAGGATACTCTTGTCAGACTGAATAATGGGATTGCACGTGACTCATAACTTCCCACGGACCAAAGTTGTAAAGCACGATTTTGTTTTCGGTGGACATGAACCACAGAGAACCTCCTGTCTTCAGTTTGGTATCCAATGCTTGAAGAGAAACAGATAGAAAGTGTAATTATTTGATAAAACCATATAGTAACTACCAGTTCTCCAAGAGAAACAAATAGTGTTATCCTTCAATAAACAATAACTGTGACTAATAATGGCTGGAGACGGCTTGAATGGGTAATGAAGAAAAACTTTAACATAAGTTTAACATGACAGCAAATGTACAACGTTTCGACAAGGTTTTGTCATCATCGAAACGTTGAACATTTGCTGTTATGTTAAACTTATATTAAAGTTTTTAAATTTTTTGTTAGTTTCTTTTTGAGGTGAAATACCACTGGACCAGTATTATTTCTAATTCCTGATGTGAACTTCTGAACTAATTGTTTTTGAATGTAAAAATGATATTGAGTTAGTATTAATTTTGTTAAATACTATTGGTCCACCAGTCCTTCAAAGGTGAAATATTTCTGAGCCAATATTTTTCTGTGATGGTAACCTACACCTGCGCTTTTGCTATATAGCATCTGATAAGTTTTTAATATAGCAGACTAATAATGTGTGCCCACCCCCAATGGCACAGCGGTGTGTCTGCGGACTTACAATGCTAGAATCCGGGTTTCGATACCCGTGGTGGGTAGAGCACTGATAGTCCATTGTGTGGCTTTGTGCTTAATTACAAACAAACAGACTAATAGTGAACCAACAGTGTTTCGTTGGTGATATATCAAGAAAGAATCAATGCTATTTTGGTTCATATATTACTAAACCAAATGACTTCTTTGATAAAAGACCACTAAACCAATAGTGTCCCACCACATTCAATATTTGTAGTAATACTTCGCTACAGGAATACTTTTAACCACTAACAAAGAATAATAGTCCAGTGGGATTTCAACACTGTGTTACTGTTGGTTCAGTTAAAATACATTAGAACTAACAATCTCTCAAGCAAAATGACAATGAACTATTGTTATATAACTGCTAGACCATTTGACTTCATTTAGTGATATACTCCTCCATCAGTGTTTGCTTGTTAAGCACAAAGGTACACAATGGGCTATCTCTGTTCTGTCCATTGCGAGTAGTTATCCTAGCACTATATCACGGCGAAACGATGCCGTCTCACGAGGTCATAGTTTCAAGTTTTACCTCCAAGGGGCGTCGTTAGGGACGCGTTGCTAGGACGCCATTATTAAATAAAGTGTTTTCAATGACATGATATATTATTTAACATAACATGATCACAGTTATATACATTTTTACCATGCACGCGAAACATGCCTGTAATTTTAAATCGATATGATACAATAAATAAAGCTTATAAAATCGTCAATAAAACGTTTATCATGTAATAATTAAAACTTTCACTAATTTGTGACAAAATATTTTACACATGTTACACGAGATTTTCCACATTCCAAAACCATTATTTTAACTATTGTCTGTAGGATTTTAACAAGTCATCAACATCTATATTTTTGACATTTTATTATATTCATGTCACTGAAAATCTTTAAACAATTAATTAGGATGAATTAATTATAATTTATTTAATGAATTAATTATAAATGATTTAGTGAATTAGTGTTAAGCGTCCTTTCTTATGACGATTTGATTATTAATGAATTAATTATAGTTGTTTTAATTAATTAGTGTTAAGCATCCTTTTAAGGGATGATTTAATTAATTAACTATTGAATTAATTATTAATTATATTCTTGTTGAGACATGTATTGTATGACTCATGACTGGCTTGGAACACGTTCTCCACTTTGTAGTAGGATGATTTAATTATTAATTACTTAACTAATGAATTAGCATTCACTGTCCTTTTTAGGATTAGCTAATTAATTAGTGTTAAGCATCCTTTTAAAAACGAATTAATTATAAACGATTTAATGAATTAATTATAAATGATTTAATGAATTAGTGTTAAGCGTCCTTTTTAGGATATATTTTTTTAATTAATTAATGATTAATTATTGACATCATGAGTTATGTATTGTATGAGTCATGACCGCCTGTCATGGCAGCCTAGCAACGCGTCCCTGACAAAGCGCCCCTGGAGACATAATGTGAAACTATGACCTCGTCATCTTCGATGATCACACACACACACACCCAAGTGGCGGCAAAAATAGGAACTATGACCTCATCATCTATGATGACATCACCCCCCACCCTTTCCTCAGGCAGTCAATCAGCATGAGGTGCCATTTTTTGGCCGCCATAGTGCTAGGATAACTACTACTGCATATATCAAAACCCGATTTTTGGCATTATAAACCCTTAGGCTTACTTCAGAGGTACTGGAAGTCTCTCTTTATCAATGAAATTTAAAAATCTAAATACTATATCTTCAGTTGTATTTTACATAATGTTTATATTTTTAGGAATCCTCTTAGATAGAAATCTTAAATATTTTACTTGGAGTGATATAACATTGAAATCATATTAACTAATGGGCTATAAGGTTATTCTTTGACACAAAACTAAGTACGGTGGATTGTAGTAAGCAAAACAAACAGTTTTTGGCAAAATATATTCCTAAGGCGAAAGTTATAAAGAGGTCAATTTGATTGATGAATTACCTTCCCACCATTAATCAGTTTTTTGCTTAATGCTGTTACTGTTTCAGTGCAAAGCTATAGAATGGGCTATATGCACTCTGTCCACCACAGGGAACCAAACCCAAGATTTTAGCTTTTTAAATCCATAAATGTACCGCTGACCCACCAGGAGTACTTTTACTTTAAAAATTATTTGTGCTGGAGACTTGCATTAGATGTCATTGGAAATTGTTTGAAAATTTGATTTTAGTAGAAATTTGTTTGTTTGTTGCTAAGCACAAAACTACGCAATGGGCTATTTCTGCTGTGTTCATCAAGGGTGTTGAAACCCGAGTTGTAACATTATAAGCCCTTGCAATTAGGGGGAGTGAAGGGGAGCGAATCAACCAGAATTGTAACTATAATACAATATCAATGTAGAGAGCCCAATTACTTTATATGGGGAGGGGCATCTTTTGTAGTTACGACCACTGTCACTGACTTACTGCTGAGCCACTGAAATGCTAGTATAATTAACACTGGCCAACAAGTTATTTTCATCATATATAATTATAGGTGGGTTAGATAGCTCTTGGTACAATGATTTCAAATCAGTTTTTGGTTTTCCTCTAGCATGTGAAGTTTTCGTGATCAAACCGATTAAATTTGAAAGGTTATTGCCTTAATTATAATTTAAGTTGTTGTACATTTCGTTTTTTTATAAGAGGGTACTGTATTAATTTAACCAAGTATATGGTGTGTATAACGTTTATGGGAATTATATTGAAAAAATGAATAGAGTTGTAACGTTAACTAGCCTAATGCAAAAACTGCACTAGTCAATGGCACTTTCTTCAAAGTATCTTAATTCTTCTGAGATCTTGATCCCAGAACTTGTGGAAAATAAAGCAAATACTGCATAGCATGTCTTCCAGCATTTTCTTTTATTTTTATGATAAATAGAACTGTTATCATTTCAACTTAGCACATGAATTTGATGTAAAAGTCTTCAAATTCTTCAGAATGGTTTCAGAATTTCCAGTCCAATTTTTATATAAAAATATGGGTATAATAAGTGAAACATATTTTCCTGTAGTAAACTGTTTTCTTCCTCAACTTTGGGATTATTTGAACCACCCCTAAATATTTTTTCGGCTTCTGATGCACCAGTGTAGTAAGAACATATTTGAAGCTGGTTCTAGGAAATGGAGATGTTCCTGTGGCAGGTCTTCTGTTCTCTTTATAATAAATGCTGACTTGAACTTTTGGTATAAGTTTTCAGTAGTTGTACCGATATCACGTTTAGAGACAAATGTTATCTGAGGAAAGCAATCTTGTAGAATGAAAGCATATCCACACAGGTAAAAATCTAGTCATCAGTGAACGCTAGTTTTTTCAATTTTACTATTGATTGTTCCACAAATACCATAATCACAAGAGTCTTTCACCATGCAAAAAGCAGCATAAAAGTTTCATTCATAATAGAAGCTCAGTGGTGGCAGAAAATAGTGAAATTTTACCACGTTTGTACTGGCCAACAAATACAATTCTAAAGCAATGTGTTATTCTTAAGAAGACCATCTATTCTGTTGAGGAAACTAGTTTGGATTGAAAGGAGTACTCAGCTGATGTTGAATGTTCTGTGGAGTCACTGATGATTCAGATATTTAAATAATCAAAGGTTACATCTCTTTTGTTATAATAAACAATAAAAATAAGATGCAGTTTAGCATGGGTATTTGCTCTGCAGAAGCTTTGGAATTCAACTTGGTTCTAGGAAAAGACATAGGGGATTTTGGCTTCAGAAGCTGTCACATCATCTTTCAGGGATTTAAGGTAACTAGATCGAGCTTTTGTTATTTAATAACGTTTTGTCAGTTCCATAGTCCTGGTGTCAAGTTTTTCAAATAAACAGTTATTCTTAAAAGATTGGTTTAATGTGTGAAAATCTACCACTTGGACTGAATTTCTTCTTGAAAGTTTGGTATGTCAAGAGCTTCAGAATTCTTTTCCCTTGAACTCTCTGTATATCTTCATCGTGGAACTTTCCTTAATCCAGGTCACAAATATTTGTCCTCATTAATTCTTTGAGTGAAATCTAGTACTTCAGTGGCAGTGAAGAAATCACCAAAGTGGGTTCTGCTAATACTCTATGAACCTTTTGAACTTATGAGAAGACACAGGGAAGGTTTCACTGATGCAAATGTAGAGCATTGCACAGGGATATTTCAATCTTATTTCTATTTAGCATACATTTCCTTTGGTTTAAAAAACAACACTCTCATTTACTTATGGTCTCTCTCCTTTGTTTTGGAACGCCTGACATTCATCAATTTTGTATCGGGTGTTGTCCAACTGTATTCATCACTTTTTTATTATCACAGAACAGCTTTTGTTGCTTCAGATTCAACTTTGTCTTTTTCTGTTATACCAAGTATCCCGATATTCTAAAAGGTTTCTTACTTCGCTTCACAATGTAGCTAGAGATATCAAACCCCTACATTTTTCTTTGAATTCCAAAAGCAAAGAGAGTTAGAATTTACAACTTCTCTGCATAGAAGGCATGGAATTGAAATATTTTTTCCAACTTTATCGCAATTTCTTTACTGTATTTCGGACCCTTGGTCTTCTGCTTAATACTAGTAGTTTATATTTGAGGCTCAGGTGGCAGTGAGATCTCATAACTGTCTTCAAGATTTCTCTTCAGATTTCTGATCGCTAATTCGAGATTGCTTCCCAGTGGCTCAGCAGTAAGTCTATAGGCATACGACGCTAAAAAATCGGATTTGGATACCTGTAGTGGGCAGAACACAGATAGCTGATTGCGTAGCTTTGTACTTTACAACAACCAACCACATAATAATTTGAGATTAACTTGTGCCTTTCTGACTTGGTTATTCCTTCTGAAAAGTGACAAATGTTTACTCCCAAGACAAATAGATATTAATAATAGTTGAATAGCCTAAAGTACAATTTTTATATTAACTCAATACTTTTTCTAGAGATGCGAATACCTACCAATCAACTGTTGATTTCTTTGATTTTGTTTGCCTGAAACAACACTATGTACCGAGTCAATGTGAATCAAAGGGGATCCAGGTTTATTTTCAGGATTGTTTTGGCTGACTTCCAATGGTTTGATTGCTTCAGGTTTTCGCACAAAGCTTTATAATGGCTATCTATGCT